ATTTAATATTATTAATAAGTTTTTTAATTTATTTTATAAAATATGATGTATCAGAAGTGATGATACAGCCTATACTTTACAATAGAAAGTTTTAATCTAAATAAGAAGTACTGGAATTTTTATGATCAAAGCTATCTAAAAATTTTGTCAGATTGTTTTATGAATACTTGGCTTTCATATAAACGTTTGGGATCAAGTGGGACCAAGTGTTCCATCAACTTTTATTATAAGTGATTTTGACAATATCAATACATAGTACAATATTGTAACTATGAATTTTTTAGTTTTAAATCGAAATAACTGGTAAAAATAATAACGTGTTAATCTTTTAATCAACCAATGAAAACAAATTTCCATCATGTTCTAACAAAAAAAAAATTTCTTGAGAATTTTTACTATACCCCCTTTAGTCTCTAACATTAGTTTAAACGCTAACCCTAACATAAATAAACTTAAAAGTTTTTTTTTAGTGATCACGTAAAAGCGACACTTTGATGGCGATGTAGTTTGCCGGTAGTAACTCCCGAAATTGCCCTTTTAGCCCTTACAAAAAATCATTTCATGAAAATATAAGTCAGAGAATCTAAAATAACCTTAATAAGGCCGTTATGTATTTGGTTTGAAAAAAAAGACTGTTTGATTTAACTAAAAAGACGCATACATATAATGACGACACCAGGGCAGGCCCCACGAAGTTCGGGTGTGCTATTGCCACAATATCTTAATATTTGTAATCCTCACCAAAAAATGACCTTTTTAGGATTATATAAATTATAATCCCAGAGAGTTCGTTTTGTTAGAAAAATCTCATTTATTACATGTCTTAAACTTTCACTTCAAGTTGAAGTGAAAGTTCGGATCACTAGATGCTGCAGCAGTAGCACATCCGAACTTCAGGGGTTTTCCCTAACCCTAGTGTCATCTACATATACTGCATATAACGATAATCACTATTGGTCTGAACCTTTGATCAATTATATAAACTAAATACAAGCTTCAGAACATTTTAACTTTTTGACCTTTTTAATAGTTTGACATATAGTAATGGGAATAGAGAGTGTCGACTATATAAAACTAATAGCAAGTCGTAGGAATCAATTTCTGAAATATTACTATCACTTCATTATTATATCTAGGAATTATTTATTATCATTATCCTTATTATTTTAAGGGCAGAAAATGCCGAATCGAAGAAATGTTCGCGTAACCAATGGGAAATGAGAAAACTCGAAAAGAATATGAATCTACTTAATGCGCATTGTTTAACAATTAAACAGGAATACAAAACAGAACTTATCAATAGATTCAAATTTAGTAAAAGGATGCTTTTTTTCGGAACTTTTCGAGATATCTTTAATTAACATCGATTTCATGCTTCTTTAATAACGATTCACATTAAACTATCTTACAAATTTCAATAAAATCTAATCACGATTTATATGAAACATAGCAAACTAATCTAAATACGTATATCACCAGGTATTATTCAAGAATTAGGCTGATATGTGTGGGAATAGTATCCTGATCCTTATCATAGGAGGCATGGTTCGAGGATACTATAAGTGTTAAACGGTAAAGAATTATGAGTTTTCACTTTGCGGCACTCATATAATCGCAACAATTTGCTAAATAAATAACTTGATTAAAATCTTTATTTAAAAACTTAAGCTCCGAAATCTGGTAGCTCTCATACATAATTACTCAGTATTATGTATTTTCAAACAACATTTTATTGCAAGTTAACTTGTTGGTTTAAAAACTATATACACTCATTAATTAAAACCATTCTTAATTTATTACCAGATAATGTTAATAATATTAAATTGACGTAAGTGGATTTAGCGGTTATTGTCGTCCATGCTGGGGATATAAGTGTGAATAATAAATAGTACCCTTTATTCATCGCAACGATAAAAAAAATACAAAATTTTAAAATATATTGCGATTATTTTTTTATTTTACTAATCCAAGTGTTCTAAAACTACGAACGAATCTTCTGGAGTTGACAAAGTAGTAGTCAAGTTAGTATGAGAAGTGGAAGTTAAGGATTTGGTAGTACCTAACCAAACATAATAAGGGATCTGGACTAAATAAGGAATCAGGAAATGATTGCGTCCATTAAAACACTTTATTGTATTGAATTGGTACTCAACGTAGTTACGACGAGATGGATGTAGGTTAATATGGTCAAATTCAAACCAAATTTGCCAAAACCATCGCGTAAACCAATTGCAATAGTACCCTTGTTGAACCTGTATATTATTATTAACTACACGACCGGAAACATAGAAATCTGCTATTCCAAACAAGCCATTCTGACATAACAAAGTTTTAATGCGATTGATAACTGGATAGAAATTATCAATCATTGATACTATAAAATAAATTCAAATTAATGATTAAAATATTAATATAGTTAGGATATAAAGTCATTATAGGACCAGGACATTTGCACAAAAAATTGTTGCCCTAAATGACTTATCCATAAACACAATTCGATCGAATAACTTTAAACTTACAAGAATAAGACATTGTCACTAAATCAAATTTTCCAATATCATCTTCTATTTCTGGTAGCTTAAATGCAAGAGCATCATCACAAATTACGTAGACATTATTCCATCCTTTGGCTTTAAATCTAGATTCTGCTATTTTACATAATGGAGTGCATAAATCTACTAAATAGACTTTGTCAAATTGTTCTATTGGAAAGAAATCATTCATCTTTTCAATATTCCAACCTACAAGGAAAAAAGAATATCGATAAAAAAAAAAATTCCCTTTGATCGTATATAAAAAATCTGCATAAAAAAAAAGAAAGATAAATATATCATTATTACCAGTTCCACCTCCAATATCAATCCAAATTGGTTTACGTGAAGTATTAGTCATTTGTTTTTTAAGCTGCTCAGCCGTAACTTTTAGCATTGTAAGTCTTCCACGTAATAAACGACCACGAGTAGCATCATAAACTAATAACAATATTTACATTGAAAATATTAAGTAAAAATATATAAAATATATTTTTTTTTATGATATATTATGTTGTCACACCGAGAATAATATACTGGTTTCTATAACCCCTTTTTTAAAATCATATATTTTATTTAGATTGCTCGTTTTGAGTGACAACATAAATGTGACTCTTTTATACATGCAAACCTTCTGCTTGATCCTCATAAAATGAGTCTAAGCGACTTCTCTGATCAGCATTATTTCCGATTGGTTTTAAAAAGCATGAATATATGAATTTTAATGGTGTTTTAAACTGTTCACTTGTTAATAAAAGTGCAAATATATAAAAAACAAGAAAAGTTTTAAGATCAAAAGCTAGTATAAGAGCGATTGCTATGGCACCAATTGAAATTACGTAACGATTAAAAGACATAATAGCTTTTAAGACAAACGATACAGTAAAGTTAATGCCTAAAATACAAAAAGGGGATGACGATAATTTAAAGCGATTACCCGATGTACGGGTATTTACGGAATCAGATAAGGAATGTACTAAAGCCGGTTTAATCATGTTTTTTATAATGATCAACATCATCACGTGATAATCATGATTCTTTACGTAGTTTTTGTTGACTGTTTAAGAACTGCTTTTTTGTTTTGTTTCATAAAATCGAGAATCTTTGGGGAAAATCAGGATATGGAATTTAAAATTTTTGGTAGACAGGTTTAACATAAATAAAGTCTTATTATTATTATGGTATGGCAAGAATTTTATTAGGATAAAAGGTTATAGAAAAAACGGTTAAATATTTATATTAACCCCAATTTTATCAATCATTAGCTCTTTATAATATATTTATCAAATATTTTTATTAATTATTGTATAGAATCTTGAATGTATTAAAGGAACTCATATATATGTATAACTTACTACTGTAATTAACTCTCATTATTTTAGTTCACAATCTGATTAGTCGATCATCTTTCAATGTCAAACAACAATGACAATCTGTTTGCACTAGAAAATAAGATATTTTTTCTTACCCAAAATTTGGGATTTATATTTTATTTGCCCGAAATATTAGCATCTACATAAACATTGTAAGACCTAAAATGTGTTACTGATTATTTCTTAATTCAGTTAAATTGATTGTACGTATTGGGGATCAAGATCGCTTAAAATTTCTAATCGTTTAATCATGTTAACCATTTAGCAAATTAAAGTTAGGTCTTTGAAATACAGTTATTTATGTTTTAATTTATTGCCTGTATAAATAATTGTGCAACACATGGAGACAATTGATAATTGATCCGAGATTTATCGTTATCCCATAATAGAAGCTGAAGAAAGACTATTACACAAACTTTCCCAAAATTTTATGTATCTTGTCTTAAATTTTAAGGCTAGGAAAGTCTGGGGAAATAACATTGCAATGTTTGTTACACGAAATTTCAAACCCAATCATGTTGTAACCATACAAATATATTGGCTTCTCGACCAATCAGAGCACGAAGTTAAAATTATGTGATATCTAAAATTAAAATAAATCTGTTCTATAAATAACGTTAAGTTTTGGTAAATACCATATATGGTTTGACAGAAGTAATTCAAATTAAGATTGATTTTAGCTTGTACGTGCTGTATCGGTTTAGATTTACCATTATAGACTTATTCTGGGTTATTATATTAACGTTTATACAAACTTTTATTGAAATCTCCCAAAACTTCTTTCATATTTGTATATTGATGTTTTTTTATACCAGTTTAAGTGTTATAAAGGTTGCTTCATAAAGTCCATTAGAAATTATGCTGATCAGCAGAACCCTTATATTCATTTCGTAAGGACCAAACGAAAGGCTTGAATGTGTAAAGCTGCATTTATGTTACATTTTGTTATAATATTATATGTCATTTTCTATCGCGTAGATGACTGAATAATTTAGGATGCAAATGATAACTGCGGGTGTTCTCAAGTAGCTTCATCAATGTGATTAGCTAATGATCGAGATGTTGCGGGTGGTGGTTATTGCGGTTAATCGAAAAACGAATTGCAAAAATTCATTTGGATTTCAAATTTTAGCCAATCAGAGCAGCCCTATGAAAAAACTTTGTGGTCGCAGCTCCGGGATTTTTTCGTCAATCAGATCGGTTGGTAAACACTGAGGGAGACGGCCTTAGTGTGATTTGGGTTCGCTGAGAGCCATCAGTGACACAAAAATTAATATGCAATAATTAGTAATTATGTGATTTGGTAGTTTGTCATGAATCGCACTAAAAAAAATTGCATAATTTCCAGTCAGGGACGATGTTTTTCTGCAAATGCAGAATATCGTAGAATCTGCAGAAACTTTTTGAATTCACTTGTCTTTGCAAAAATTTTATTACAGATAATTACAGAAATTTGCAAAAAACAATTTATTTTGCAGATAATCATCTCCGTCTTCGATTAATCGAAATTAATTGAAGAGATCCTTATAACAATTTTCCCGAGGATTTTAAATTTCAGCCAATCAGA